GAGCAGGAATACACACACACACATACACACACACCAGAGAGAGAGAGAGAGAGAGAGAGAGAGAGAGAGAGAGAGAGAGAAAGGCATGGAGTCACAGGCCGTTGTGAGCTGCTATGTGGGTGCTGGGATTTGAACTTGTTTGAGCAGTCAGTGCTCTTCACCACTGAGCCATCGCTCCAGCCCGGAGACAGAGAGGCATGGATATGACTGAAATACATTATGTCCGTGTGCAAAAATGTTGCAACAAAAGTCATGATTACATACAATGAATATATGCCAACAAAAAACATTTAAAAAGGAGTAGAGTTAAAAAAGGAATACAAGGGAGTTTTGCTTCTCCTCTGGGAGCAGCTTGAACACAGCAGGACTTGTTTGTGGGGTATGCAGCCGTGAAGACCAAATCTTCACCCTGAGTGGAGCCGTGTTAATGCTTTGTCTCCTACAGAATCTCTCAGAAGTCTTGGGAGTCTTTAGTGTTTGGCCGAGAGAAAAAGTAAAAGAAAGATCATGTGTCGGGGGAATGAAGCAATGCACTTGACTAGAGGATTAGGAAGAAAGTGGAGAACAGGTTTTGAATGCTGTGAACAAAAAAGGGCCGCAGCCAGGTGCACAGATCTGCAGTTTGGGGAGTATTTAGGATGCGGGGCATTGCTCGTGAGTGGATCTCAAAATTGCTTCAGATTTATAGAAAAGTTGCAAGCTGTATAAAGAATTCCAGCTGTACTGAGTTTATGCAAATGTTGCTAAAACATTACCACATTCGCCTGGTCATTCTCTCTGTATGTGCGAACACATGCACCTCACGCCCTCCCCAGCCACCTGAGACTGAGCACACACACCATTAACGTCACAGAGCTAACACTGAGCATGCTAATCTGTTATCTAACCTAGAGGCCCTGGTTCATCAGTGCTCTCAGCAGCCAGTCCAGGCTCACGCATTGCTTCTGGCTGTCTTGTCTCTTTAGATTCCTTTAACCTGTGAATGTGCCCAGGACAGCCATTCTCCGACAATCTTGGTGTGTGTGTTCAGGAGTGTGCATTACGAATGTATGCATGAGTAGACTTGTGTGTACATGTATAGAGGTCAATGTCATGTGACTTCACCTTAGTTTTTGAGACAGGGTCCCTCCCTGAGCCTGGAACTTGTTATTTGACCTAGACTTGTTTGCTAGGATCTGCCCGTCTCCACCTAGTGGGCACAGATGCTCAGTGTTCATGATTGGTTGTGGGTGCTGGGGATCTGAACTCAGATCCTACCCTTTGCACAGCTAGTACTTTACCCACTGAGCCATTTCCCTGTTATTACATTGGTGGCGTTGAAGCTGTCACATTGTTGAATCTCCTTCAGTGTATGTTTGGTCTGAGTGACCTTGAGAGGAAGCAGCTTTTGATGGGGTTAGATTGACTAATGGTTGGATCAGGTTCCTAATAGGCTCTTGATCAAGATACGTCCTCCCATGGTTCCAGCATTTCTATCCAGCATAGATCTCACCCTTGCTGGGAAAACTGCTGTATCCAAGAAGTCACCTATAGTTTGATGGTGCATTCTGTGCTTTCAGGGTTATGGGGCTGGAAGCATAGGTTGGTTGGCTGTGCCTGTTTAGTGTGTGCAGAGCCCCAGGTCCAGTCACTAACACCACACCGGTAAACTGTATCAGCATGTGGCATATACCTCTGATCCCAGCACTCTGGAGGTGAAGCCAGGAGGATCAGAAGTTCAAGCTCATCCTTCGCTACACAGGGAGCTGGGGGCCAGTATGTGTTAAAGATCCTCTTTCTAACAAGAAACAGACTGTGTATTCTTGAGATGAATCATTCAGGGGTAGAAAATGATGGTATTTAAATCCCTCCTTTTTCTCAGTCAAAACAGTTGAGGATCAGGGTAGGGAAGGCTCAGGAGGCAGGGAGTGTGTGGATGACCCCTGCTGACCCCTGCTGACCCCTGCTGACCCCTGCTTCTCACAGCCTAGAATCCTGCTGGGCTGAGGCTGGGACTAGGTTGTTTGTACCTATGGAAAATTATACTGGAATCTGACCATGGAAACCTTTGATTCCGGCTCTGTGGAAGAATGACGAGGATTTGAAGGGAGCACCTAAGATCTCTATGAAGGGAGCACCTAAGATCTCTATGAAGGGAGCACCTAAGATCTCTATGAAGGGAGCACCTAAGATCTCTATGAAGGGAGCACCTAAGATCTCTGTACATGGAAATTACAGGAAGTTATAAACGTTTCCAGCTGAGCCGCCTTTTGATGTGAGTGAACATGGTAGTGGCGCACCCTCCAGCCTGATGGGCTCAGCAGGCTCATGATCAAGGATCTCCTGTGTGTTCCTCTGTGTTCCTACACCCACTCCCACCACACACCTTTCCCTCCACTCCCACCACAGACCTCTCCCCCCACTCCCACCACACACCTCTCCCCCACTCCCACCATGCACCTCTCCCTAGGTGGGCAATTAAAGCTTCAAGATGTTTCTGAGATGTGTCAAGACTTCTTACTCTCAAAATCTGTGAGGTATGAAATACTCCTATGTCTCAGGTGAGGGAACAGAAAGAGGTCACCCAATGACCACATCTGGCAACACCACCCAATGGCCACACCTGGCCACGTCACCCAATGGCCATAGCTGGACATACAACTCAATGACAACACCTGGCCACACTACCCTATGACCACATGTGGCCACACTACCCTACGACTATAGTTAGCCACATCACCCAGTGACCACACCTGGCCATACTACTCAATGACCACAGCTGGCCACACCATCCTGTGACCATACCTGGCCACACCATCCTGTAACCATACCTGGCCACACCACCCTATGACCACATGTGGCATACCACTCTGTGATCACACCTGATCACAATGAATAAATCCACTCCTGCTTTTAACTTCCTAGACTCTTTAACTGGCCTGTGGAGACAGAAAGCCACGTCCAGCCTGTTTGAGCTGCTAGAGTTCAGTCCTGGTAATAGACTTAGGTATCCTGACTGTTGTGTTTGGGACATCAACGTTACTGTGTGGCTTTTATTTTATATTTGATTTAACATGTATGGAAGTTTTGCCTGCATGTGTGTATGTGTACCAAATGCATGCCTGAGGTCCAAGGAGGTGAGGACCTTGGGTTCCCTGGATTTGGAGTTAAGGATGGTTGTGACTAACAGGGTTGTTGCTGGGACCAAACCCAGGTCCTCTGCTGGGGCAGCCAGTGCTCTTAATTGATGACTTATTTCTACAAACCCTGATAAAGTGCTTTATCATTAATTATATATCCCATGATGAGCCATCTTGGTGGGGAAAATGAAGACACAATGTCTCCTTTTTCTCAGTCAAGAGAATTTTGGATCTGGACATGTGAAGTCCAGGAGGTCAGGGGAGTTTTGTGGTCGAGAGTTAACCTGCTCTGAGAACCTAGAAGGTGGCCGGACTCCTGGGGTTAGACTGATCAACTGGGCTCCAGGAAAGACTGCCTTCTGCTGGCTGAACAGCTTATCCTGCTTCCTGCTCTTCTGGTGACCCTTAAAAGCATTTGATAAAAATTTCGAGGCGTTTAATAAAAATGGTACAGCTTCCATGATAGTGACCCAGGCACCAGTCTGCTTAAAACCAACCTGGATTTTGTTATTATTCTGATAGGAGGATGCTATGGGATAGTAAGACAGGGTTATCACAGTTCCCAGGAGCAAGGGAACCGCGGGGCCACACTCCAGGGCCTTAAGGGAGGCAGAAATAAAAACCAGGTGTAAAAGCCTCTATTATTATTATTTATTAATTAATTATTGACCTATATTGTAAATACTCCCCAGGGCCCAAGTTCACTGAAAAGACTACATCATTTTCCCTTAGAACTCATGTTTCTTTAAGATGACTTAGTTATTGCATAAGGTGACCAGAGTCTCACAAGTGAATAATCTACTAAATTATAGATTCTGTCTGAGATGGGCACTCCAGACCACAGTGCCTTTCCCAGTGCTGAGACTATGGAGAAGTGGTTCATCTTTATGCCTCCCTTTACCTGTTCCCACATGGAGCTTTTCATTAAGATCCAGGCTCCCAGTTCCCACTCCACTCCGGGAATGGTCTTGATGCTATCCAGTTATGGCTGTGTAGCTAATTTGTTGGTAATATTCAATGTTGCCAGGAGGAAACTAAAGAATCCTGGGAGTATGGTATGCATGTGGCCACACACAAAACAAAGAAATAAAACATGGACAAATAATCCCAGGAGGTCTACATTCAGGTGTTTGTTCCTGGTTTTTTGCTTGTTTGTTTTTTTCCTTTGTTTTTGTGGAGACAGAGTTTCCCTATGTAGCTCTGGCTGTCCTGGAACTGGTTCTGTAGATCAGGCTTGTCTTGAACTCAAGAGATCCGCCCTCCTCTGCCTCTGGAGTGCTGGGACTGAAGGAGTGTGCTACCAAAGCCTGACTTAAAAAAAACAAAAATAAAAAAACAAAAATGAAAACAGCTTGTATCACATTTCATTTCTATCCATTCATCCACCCACTCAATTAACAAATGTTTGTTGAGCCCCAGTGGCCCGCACTGAGCCAGCACCTGGTGATCAGTGTGTGTGGAAAGCTCAGACTTTACACTTTAGTGATAACAATATAAGAATCACACGGGGTAGGGGTAGGGAGGGAAGGTGCTTGGTAAAAACCGACTTCCTTTCTCTAAACAGCTTCCAAGACGATCTTCCCTGACAGAGGCCTCTGACCAAACTCAGGCCAGCAGTGAGCTGTTTCCCAGCCCTGACTTAAGGCTTTTTTCTTAAATAGGTGTCACTTTCTTTTTCCTATAGTGATGAGATGGCATACAAATTAGCATGAAATGTTACCAGTGTGTCCGTCCTCATCCGGCAGACTAGCAGACAGTGTCTTTCTAGATCCATCTTAGGGCTGTGAGAGTGAGTCTCCCTGTGGAACACACTTGGGTAAGTTGCAACCATGTAGCTAGTTCACTAACTGACCAGTCTATGAACTATCGCCTCATTTCTAGGGCAACAAAGAATCAAATGAGAGGAAGACAAGCTGCGAACCGAGTCCTGACTGCCAGATGGGAGCGGATGAAAACACAGGTACGAGCCTGCCTCTAAGTTGTTGCATGAATGATTACAGGTATTCAGAACGTCACAGAAGAATGTAAAATCAGCAAGAGACTGAGTGAAATAACTTTCCACAAGGCGAGCTCTCTTACTCTTCCCTCCCTCCTTTCTTCCCTTCCTTATCTTTTGAGAATGGGTCTCACTATGAAACTCTTTCTAGCCCAGAACTCACTGTGTAGATCAGACTGGCCTCAAACTCACAGAGATCCTCCTGCCTCTATCTCCTGGGCGCTGGGATCAAAAGTGGGCACCACCATGCCCAGCCGTTTAAACTCTTCTTGTAGCATGTCAGTTATCTCCTGGTATTCTCAGTCTGGAAATAGAACTATGAAAACAAACTGTGTTGGAAAGACCATGACCCAAGTCACCATTTGTCCGCTTACACCTTTTCGTACCATGCACAGTAGCTGTCTTATGAAAAGACTCTTTTTTAGACCCTCCGGCTTCATTCAGGGGATTATCTGTGTCTTTGTCTTAGCTTCATCTGTCTGTCTCTCTGTGGTGCTACTTTGTGCTTCACGTCCCTCCAGAGTGAGGTCAGTGCCATCTTTCCCTTCATAGCTCCTTCGCTCTCCAGTTAAACCAGCTTTGAAGCTTGTGCTGTGTCCCTGTGGGGTCTGCAGCTGGTCTCTCTCACTCAGCCTTCTCCACTGGGGGATTTTAAGTAGAACTCCCCTCTCTCTTTCCACCACAACTCCATTCATCAACTCAGTGCCAACTTCCGGCAGTTACAGAATAAAGGGACCCAATACTCCAGTGTATTTGTTGCTCTGTCTCCTTTGTCCACTGCCACGCTGTGGACCTTGTGGACACTTTGCCACATCCAGGCTAATGGTCAAGGGTTTCCCCTAGACCCCAAGAGCTTCTGGTTCAATAGCCTGAGGTCCACACTGCTACCGGATTTCTTTCACCCACTTTACCTCGGATCTTTCCCTTTCTTGTTCTCAGCTGATTCTCTGACTTCCTGTTTCATGGAAGCGAGTGGATGAGAAATTCTTCCAGCCCCATTCTCCTCAAGAGCTTTTAATCACTGAATCATCGCTCTTCTTTTGTCCCCCACCTTCTGACAAGGGCAGGCATTCAGCCCTTCCTGTGTGTTCGGCATTCTAGTGTCTCGTTTTCCCTCAGGAACGTTATTGACTTTCTTCTGATTATATTTTGCCATCTTCCCTTCTGGGGATCTTTCCACAAACACATTTACATATTCATATCTCTTTCATCACACCAACTAAACAAATAACAGATCAACAATCACCAAACATCAGCATCTCCTGAAGAGGCCTCTGTGAACCACACACCCTTCCTGGTCCCACACTCTGTCCCTCCATTCTCCAGCATCTGGCTTGTGTTGCTTATTTTTTCTCTGCCCAAATCCTTAGTTAAAATTCCCTCAACAATCTGTCAGATGTGGCTTCTGTTTCAATCACTCCAAAGAACAACTCTTACTGTGGTCACTAGTCACTCCTGTGCTTCTATTAAGCGTCTCTGGGAGTTATCCAAGGCAGGTGACCATTTTCGAAGTTCTCCTTACCTCTGGCTCCCATAACTTCACAGCTCTGAGACTCCCTCCACTCCTTCACATAACCTGAAAACCCGAGGCTCAGGCAGAGTTGTTTCTCACAGTCCCAGACAAAAGCAACTTAAGGGAAAGATGGTTTATTTTGGCTCATGGTTTGAGTGTGCAGTCAGTCCATCACAGCAGAGAAGGCATGGCGGCAGGAGCATGAGCAGCTGGTCCCATCACATTGGCAGCAGGAGGCACAGAGAGATGACTGTTGCTGCTCAGCTTGCTTTTTCCTTTTTATTAATTTTGAGCTGCCAGTCAAGGAGGTGATGCTGCTGCCCACAAACAGGCTAGAGCTCTGCTCCTTCCTTAAAACTCATTGGAAGTGACCTGCTAGACATGCCTGTGAGAGGTCTCCTAGGAGGTTTCGAATCCAGAGTAACCACCACACTGTCTCTTCTCTTTCCGAATTTAGCCACCCATATGGCCTTAGTCACCACATTCTAACACTTTATCTCCAGCTGGTGCCTTCAGACGCCTCAGCTGGCCACAGACCCAGGACATGATTATCTGTCCACTCTAGGTCCCCATGGAGATTCCAGTGTCAGCTCAACAGTTAAGAGCACTGGCTGCTCTTGCAGAGGACTTGGGTTTGATTCCCAGAACCCACATGGCAGCTCACAATCACTTGTAATTGCAGTTCTAGGGGAACTGAAACTCTCTTCTGGCCTCCACAGGCACAGCATGTACATGTTTCTCTCTCTCTCTCTCTCATAAGCAAAACACTTATACACATAAAATAAAAATAAATCTTAAGTATATACCTTTGTCCATAGACTATAACATATGTATAATTTTAGCTTTAAGATGGTGTACTGTTTATGTGAGGTTTAGATTACCGTACTTGAATGTTTATCATGCTCTGTTGTAGTAACTAATGTTTTCATACCTAAACATGTGCCTCGTGCATTTGTCTATGTGCCTGAGTTGCCACTCTTGCTTTATATATGTTCCTCTCCTTAGAGATGCCCCAGGCAGTGACTACTCACTGAGAAGGACTCTTGTGTAGCCTGTGAGATAGTTTTCTGTGGAACAGTCCACACTCATTTGTCTTTGCTGGCTGAAACAAAGAGATATGATAAGGCATTTAACATGGCTTTGTGTCCCCAAATGGGTGACTCCCTCCAGGATACTGGATACTGGAACTCTCTGTTATGTCTCAAATAGTCTTCAAATCCCTGTTGGATTTTTGGCATCTTGTGGCTGTCTGCACAAAGGCTCTCTAATTCAAAATAAATATTTGTGTGGCATTGTCCATTATCTGACACTGGTTTGTCACCAATGATCAACTGCTCGATTTCATTGTATTAATATGTAAACACACTCATCATTAAGGAGACACATCCCTGGGGGGAAAAAAAAATCCCTAGCAGGCATGATTACTAGTCATCCAGCCAATGGTGACATCTTTCTCTTTTCTATTTCTGCTGCTGTGGATTGATCAGCACAGAAGTTGTTGTGTTTACTTGTAAATCTATACTCAGAGGGAAGCATTAGTCTCTGGCCCAGGAGAAGATTAGGGAGGGTTAGGAACTGCTAATGGTCTCCTCCGGGAGCAGATGGATTTATTCTGCCCTGTTGATCATTGTTTTTACAGTGGAGACATTGGCTCCATACCAGTGCCTGCACCCACTCCTTTCATGCAGGGAGACAGGGGTTCTTTGACAGCCCAGGGCTCTCTGACTTCCGATAGTTCCTGGTGTAAGTGTAAACAGCAGTCAGTGTTCAGCATGTGGCCCTCCCCTACACCACCCCATGCCCCTCCTCTGCACTATCCGGTCCCCTGCCCCTGCACTGCCTGTGCCCCTTCCCTATAAGGCCCTGTGCCCCTCCCTGGCACCGCCCATGTTCCTCCCCTGCTCTGCCTGTGCCCCGCCCTTCACTTCTCATTGGCTATCTGCTCCTCTCTCTGCTAATGGTCACGTTTTCCTTATCTGTGGGCCCATCAGGATGATTGTGACCTGCTATCTCCTTGCTTTTATTTCTTTGAGTACTACAGTCAAGCATATCTGGAGATAACTACCCGCTGGGCAAGGAACATGAATAAGTGGGTGAAGGGGCTTGTCGCCAAGCCTTGCAGCCTGAGTGTGGTCCGTGGGATGCATGTAATTTGTAGGCAGAGGACCAACTCTGGTAAATTGTCCTCTGACCTCCATATACACACTGACGTGTACACCTCTGATCTCCACATACACAGTGACGTATACACCCATGACTTCCACATACACACTGACGTGTACACCCCAAATAAATAGATACAATATATTTAAAAGACTATTCCTTCGCAACGATTTGCCTGCTTTTAAATTTATTGTTCATAGAGTATTTTTGATTTAAAATCCCG